CTAGTTGTAAGTCAATTGCAGAGTGAGAAAACCACAACACCAACATCAAAAAAGCGATATGGATATATATAATATGTATATTGTATAACATAAGTACCGTCATACTGCTACCTCCACAGTCAGCTGATTTACCACTTGTTGCACAAAGCTGGCCGTACAAAATTCTCCACAGTATACCGCGTCATAAATTTTTAAAAATCAACAACCATGGACATTTCTTGTATACTGTATGATATTACAAGTCGATCACCACAGGCAAGCTTACTTAACTTCTTACCTTATTTATTGTAATTAGGAAAACTTGTACCAAATGTCAAAGTGTAAAAATAGTACAGTAAGATGCACACACATGCAAAGATTTCCCCACTCAAACCAATACCATTATTCCTATTAAATCTCACAAAATATTTCAAACGCAGATTATCTTCTGTTTTTGTATAATAAGTTTTAACCCTTCCAAACACAAGTTATTTTGGAGGTGGAGCACTGAGCCAAAAGTATAAAACAGCATCAAGAAAAAGAAGGGAAAGAAGACTGACGATTTAAGTAAATTAATGCCTTCCATCTCATGAAGACTTCATGCTATAGAAAACAAAGGCGAGAGGAAGAATAGTAAAGTGGCAAAAGAAATATAAAAAACACCACAGTTTAATACGTCTGTAAGTTCAAAACGACACAAGAACTGTTGAACTCTTGGCATTTCATAGTAAGTAATACTGCACAAAGAGATGCTACATGTGAGAAAAACCATCTTCATTAGGGTTAGTGAAAAGATAAGTTTTTACTGGATTTTAAAGCGTCTGATTCACCCATATTCTTCTAGATCTCATTTCTCAAAAATAGAAAAACATGACCCATCAGCCCTAAGTAAAGAAACAACAAATAGATACATTACATCTGTTGCTCTAATCTCTAAAATGACACCCCCCCCTCCCGATGTTTAATCTAAACAGACCCTCCCCTCCTTCCTTCTGCTTATTACTAAAACCCAAAGACTTTCTTTCATCGCACAACTCAAAGCATCGCCCTGAAATTATAATAATTTGACGTAGACCATTACAAGACCAGCTCATCATATGCACTTGAAATTGATATGCCTCTAGGACACAGTTTTCAAACTTTGTAATTCCTCAGTATCTGCAATTCTTTGGCCAATGATGCATTTACAAAAATATCATTAATCCAAATACAAAGAATGTATCTGGTGAGAAAGGGCAGAAAAGACTAGAATGAACAACAATCAATCTATTTGTCTACAACATGATTCAATGGTATGATAAAGTTTGCAGAGCATGGCAGTGACTACAGCAGTTTTCAGTTGAGTATGAAGCAAAATTTCAACATACGCACATTTTTGTGGTTTTGCACGCTAAGTATAATAAGTATAAGGCAAAACAGTAATTGGCCAATCAATTGTAATCATAATTACATAAGTAAAAAAAATAAAACCCCATCAACGAAACAATAAACATTAATACAAAAAACAACTACAAAATCAGTCATTGGTAGCCAAACATTTCACCACACGGCCTGGTACGACAACCAAGTTCTTGTGAACCTCTGTCCTTATGTACCTGACCTATTAACAATAAAGTAAAGTGGAAGTGATGGTAAAAACAATAAACAATGTAGACCTGTTTAAAGAACCAACCAAACCTAGGTCTACAACAGCAGTACTCCCCTTTCCCTACCAAGTTGAACTAAAAAAAGATAATGAACAATCCTAATAATACAAAAGTACCATTAGAAAAAAAATCTGAGACAGGTTGCATACTTTTTATAGTATAGTATTGCTTTTTTAAAACATTACATCACACACACTAGCGACTTACAACTTACACAACTGATATGACATCCAGTATATTAATCTTTGACATGGTGATTGTGCTCTTGCCAAATTTATAAACACATTTACCCTGAACCCGAACTGTTCTGTATGGTTTTTTTAAACATTACAAACTTGTTCTTGTAGTTGTCACTTGAAAACAAAATAGTGCACATGTGCAAAAAACATAGCCAAAATAGTAGATTCCCTCATTATAATTATAGTACATTGCCATGCTAACCAGTACAGCAGTGTTGATCAAGATATCAAGTTCTCTACCCCCACCCCAACCTATCGCCCAAATAAAAGAGGCATGTATCTACGTACCATGTGAACAAACAGCTGGAACAAGAAAACGTAAGAACAAGCACGGATAGTTGTGAGACAGTTTTAACAATTGGCAACCTATTAAAAAGTGCTAAACCCTATTTGCATAAAATGACACACATACACACAATTACAAGCGGAGCAAGACACAGCTAAACAATAAATCATGCATAAAATTCACCAACTGTTGGATTTGAGTCAATCTAATAGCATACTCAGATAAAGCTTAGATCTAATGTCGTCAACAGTTTAGTTAAACAATTATGCTAAAACTGTACCGAGATGTCAAACAAACAAAAAAGCAGTTGAAGTTTGTTCTGAAATAAATAGTAGAAACAGAGAAACCAAGGGAAAAATTGCTGAAATCAAAGGGCAGGTTTAAGATGCAGGATACAGCTGTGTTTGACTCATGAATTCTAACCATTATATCATTATTTTTTTTTAAACAGCCACATTAAATTTATGGAAATATCCAAACAAGTCTTCTTGTTTTGTTTTCTCAAAAAAAATTATATAAATAAATGCTTACAACACATAATCGAAAACTTGGTGTCTCATAATCATGCATGTGAGACACCAAAGAATAGACAAACTCTCACTTCAAATTTTGTTCACCAATAAATCACATTCTTTAAGTTATCAACTATAAATGCATTCTTTGTGGCTAACGAAAAAGACAATGGGACAAACAAAACAAAAACAAACCAACCCCCCCCAAAAAAAAAACCACCAACAAAAATCATGTTTGCATCTGTCTTGTTTAAGTTTTTAAAAGAAGAAGCACAGTGACAGATTAACAGTCAGTTGAGTTAGTACAGGGAAAAAGTAAGACAGATATTAATTGGGAAAAGAACAAAAAAGTAGGAACTACCAGAGGCATTCTCCAACTACCACTGTGCATCTGTCGCAGCTGTATATAATCATACTTTCAGCTGCTGCTTGAGAGATACTGCAAACGCTACAGCGTAATTTTATTTTTTACATATTGACTTGATGACTGAGATGAATGTCAGATTCCATCAAAGAATTCTAACACTAATCTTATGGTTCATTTATTTATGTTAGCACAAAAGGTCATCTGCCTGTGCCAAAAATAATAAAACAACCAAGACAGGTTAAGAAAAATTGTTAACGTCGTTCGATCAAAAATGTGGGTAATGTCAACACTCTTTGAAATCCTATTTGTATAACAATCAAAATCTAAACAATCAATAAGGTGAACTGAAAATGTGAATCAGCTTTAAATTTCTGCATTCCTTTGAAAATGAAAAGGAGAGAGATGTTCTATTTTTTTAGTGAAGGACATAAAAAAATGTCATGGGCAATACAAAGACATCTGATTTGTATGTACGGTACCAAGACGTGTAAAATTTGTGGCTTCACATCCAATTAGTAGGATTAGTTGTGGAGATCATTGCATTTCAGTAGGCTATTTACAAACAAAAAAAGCCAAACAAAACAAAATAAAACATAAAATGAGCAAGCTCCTTGAACAAAACCTCGTTAGAAAGCTGCATAATACTCATCAAACAGCTGAGTTTGGACAATAGCAATACAAAGTCAACGTAATAAATCCCACAGAAAAACAGTTTCTCCCAACAGATTTTGCTTTGCAATGAAAGAAAAGACATTCCAAAACAAAGACCCTGAAAATGTGCAGAGACAGAAAACACAAAAACCATTATTACGAACAAGGGGTTATTACATGTAGAGTTAAATCTCAAAATTTTCAGTCAAATTTTAGCCTCTAACCGGCTTTCAGCCGATCATATGACTGGTTTGCTATTACACACTATGACAAAACTGACAAAACATGTCCCTGTTTGCCAGAAAATCAAACTGTTTACACACTTGCAAAATTCCTTCAAAAGTTTTTTCTTTTAACAAATTATTGCTGAAATCTTGTGTGGTATCAGTGTTTTAGTGGTTAAGCTTTTGGACTAACAACTGAAGAGTCATGGGCTCCAACTCCATCATGGGCCAAAAATTGAATCCTTGGAAATTTTCCCCCCCATTTCATCCACGTGGGAATGGGTATCTGGCTATAGACAGTAGAAGATCTTGTCAGTTTCTTAGTACAGTCGAATCTGCGTAAGACGGGATCGCAAGGGAGCCAGAAAAAAATTCTGTCTTAAACATTTTCCGTCTTAGAGAGGGGAATTTAGTGGGGAGATATTCAAAGGCCCGGCCGCTGGGATCAAGGATCGCTTGTCCGGTCAGCAGTAATCAAAACTTCACACCTCTCAGCTGCTATCCTCTCTGATAATGACATGCATCAGTCTTATCCAATTACCACCAGGGCTTGCATTTCATAGGACCACTGTTTGACCTATTAAAAAGAACAGTTTGAACATCTCCTTTGTTTCCAACCTTAGCCCCATAGTGTAATAAGCACAGTCAACCAATGCCATCCCTCACTGCCATGTAACAACGATTCGAGGAACTCTTTCCTCGGCTGGCTGTACGATCAGGATCAGGGCGGCAGGCATTGGTTAAACTAATTTCACACCTTTGGCTTCTGGCTACCCAGAAGTTTCCGTAGGGCTCGCTACTCAAGCACTTTCTTCACAGGCACTCATGAGATTTCACACCCACATTACCCTGACCATCTTCATCGCTCAGGGCCAACGCCTACTGTAAGTTAGAGTAGGCGTTGCTCAGGGCACACATAGATGGGGTAACATCTACCCTCAAATCGCACCCCTACTCCCTTTCCTCGTCCAGCAGCAAATCACTAGACCTACAAGTAGAGCACGTGTATAGCCCTTTCCTACACCTATCAAACATGGGGAACAGACAAACTGTCAATGGGACGAACATAATACATGATGCAATCATGCTTAAAAAATTTTTTTTTTGAGATCTTCAAAATACAGCAAGAAAAAGAGTCACTCCCGAGTTATTGGGCTTTATTTTGATAAGATAGTTCCGAATCTGTCATCATTTTTGTAATAGGACGTAAAAGAACCTGTGTAAACATTCTCAAGCTAAATAGAACTTTGAAGACGGAATAACAAAACAGTGCAGCTTGACGACAATTTGATGCATTCAAATATTTTCGGTAAACACCAGAAAATGGTGAAATTAATCATAAATGCACAACAGTTGCAGATAGAAAAAGTTAAAATAAGTTGTAGAAAATGACAAAAGAACAATAATGCACAATCAGCATTGGAAACCCAGACCAGTAACACGTAGGGATGGGGAAAAAAAACTGAAGAAAATAAGACCCCCCAAAAATGTTTTTTTTTAAAGTAGCAATAATGACTTCAGTGAATGTGCACAAGATGGCGACACACCACACTGGAAAGCATTTTCAAGTGAACTTTTACTAGAAATTAATTTTTAAAACATGCCTCACGGATTTTTACCCTACCTTCAAACTTATGATTATGTATACAAGGGCTGTCCCAGAATTAATAAGAAAATCGCTATCAATATAATATAAAGAGTTTTGTCATGATGGAGATACACAGTTACACAGCTGATTGGCAAAACATTCCATTTCTTTCTCAACGTAGTTGCCATGAACAGTCAAGTATTTTTGCCATTGCTGTATCATGACACAGTGACACTAACAGAACCAAATTACTGCTTTTCAGAAGGGGACAAGTATTGTATCGCCACATTAAGTAGCAAGCGAACTGTTTTTATTTTTCCGTGTACTTCAGTCTGATGTTTTGAGCATCACCATCCATGGTACAAACTACAGACTAATGCTGTGACACCAGAGAGCTTTAAACTTCTGGCTGAGGTGCAACATGCCTTCTCATCACTGTGAGCACACTATGTCATCATTGAATCAGATGGAACCACCAACAAAGACTTCAGTCAGACTAGTAGCAAATTCTCCTAGTTGGTCTTATCAATAATTGTTCTGACGGCTTGGCAATGCAATTGGTAACACAAAAAAAATTAAGGCACTAAGCTGCTGTGATTGAGATTAAATTCTGACAACAGGCCCATGTTTTGTTCAGAGTAGGAATAAAGCATTCAGAAAGACTGAATTGACAGACAACCAATTCTAAAAAGCAGACATATTAATGACGCTACAAAAAGGAGATACCAACACTTACGGCATCTATGTTTATAGACACTTAGCATCAAAACAACTGTATCAACATAATAACAGTGAACAACCATTTACCCTAAAAGTGAAGAGAAAGACACTTCACCTCAGTTAAATCCACTGTCTACAAAAACAAAAAATAAAGTTGAGATCAATAACAGGAGAAAAAAAAATGTAGGCCCTACTGATACATAACAGCAAGCATGGTAGTATAGCTAAAATTAAACCAAATTGCAAGAGTTTCCCCTAGTTCATAGTGGGACAATCCACTCCACACATATGATCAAACTAACTTGCACAAAACAGTGCCCACAATGAAGAAAGAATGCAATTTACAGCTCTGACAGTTTATATATATATAGCATAACTGGATTCCACGAGAACTATATTCCAGGGTGGTGTAACAAAATATGTATAGCTGCTAACCAGTTAGCTTTGCTTGAAGAACCTAAATATTATGTATTCAGCCCTGAGCAAATAATACAGGTGAGAATATCTCTTTTATTACATTATAATACCTGTAGCTGGCCAGAGGGTCAATGTTTGAAAAGAAAAATTTTTTTGGTTAAAATTTGTCATAGCACACCCTAAATAGTAAATACCTGCAAGACGTAAACATAGATAAAACAAAAAGAGATTAGTTGAAAACAATCAGTGGTCAAAAACCCCACATAAAAGACAGCTACTCTAAAACAAGAGATATTAGCATATGTACTTTGGAAGAGGAATAAAATGACATTCAAACAAGCAAATATATGTTTACAGCAAAATGAGTGTATTGGCAGTACCTGGAAAAAAAAGTTGCATAGACTAGGGCAAATACATTTATTAAAGAATGATACTTCAGACTCTGCAAGAAACCCTTCAACCTTCACCCAAAAAAGCAGAACCAAGCCACTCATGGTACATCTACTTTTACTCGCACTACTTTTTATGATTTATACTTTAATTACTCTCATTACTTCTGTGCATAACTTCAACTTGACAGAGTGATCAAAATTTGTAGTTACCATTTCTCTGCCCATGTTACTATTTATTAGCTATTTCCCCCTGATCTGTGGAATAGATAATCTTACACCCTGTCTAATAATGCTTCAAAGCATTTCCACATCCTGCATATTATATGGTGTTTTCGGTCTTGTTTATACATTTTATTTAAAAAACGGGGAAATTATTGCAAATCATCATAGGAACCAAGGAACTGAAACAGTTCCACATTTAAAACATCTATAGTGCACAAAAGCCAACCCCCAAAACTTGACTACCCAAAAAAGAAAAGAATAAAAATATAATGCTTTGAATTATGCAAACTTGTTTCACTTTAGGCTGCAGCAACGGCTAAATATGTTCGAGTAAAAAGAGCATGTATATCAATTACTTTGGGATCCAAGAATATCTAGAATCAAAGTTCAGAAACAAATTATACATTTTCCCATTTTTGTCTCATATATGTGCAAAGCAAGTTATACAAACAATACAAATACTGAAATAAAAATATTTCAACAGAAAAATACCTGAAAATTTTCTTTTTCTAAAGTATTCACTGCAATATGATGGCAATACAAACCACATATCATAAAAGATTTTACATCAATTCCCGATGTTTGGAACACTTTTCTGGCAGGACTACTCCGAGGGGCAACTATAATATGCACCACAATTTTTGAAAATTATCAGGGAGAAAAATGACTACAATACAAAACAACTGCTTTTTGAAATAGGGGAAAAAGGTGAAATAAAAAGAACGACTGACATCCCACACAGATCTTTCTAAAAAAAATTTTATATCAGCAAATTCAGTTTGTCTGTATCATCAAGCAAACACAAAGGGTGAGAAGAGCAAACAAACATTGCACAAAGGTTTCACAACTGAAAGTATACACACACTGATCTAGGAAATCTAGGCTGTAAGACTTGACTAGACTATTCAGAATGTGGTTATAACATTATTGCGAATTGCTTATCTGTGGCTTCAGTTCAAAGGAACTTAAAAGATACTGCTTGGGTAGTAGCAAACAATCAAATACCAGTGCGCAAACACACAAGTCTGACAAAATAACAAAAAGGTAGCAAAGTCCAATATTTTTCACACACATGATTGATAGCTGTATATATTTATATTTGCATTTTGCTCCACAAATTTAATTCTTGAACATGGAAGAGAACTAATCATATGAGATGCTATCCTGAACTTTTAAATTATGAATGTAATGAATCAAATACTCAATATGTTACAGTGAGAAAAAGAACATGATATGAATACTGCACACCATTTCTGGCCATCCCAATAAAATACAACCTTTATTGGACACTACCTTAAACAGACCCTCAACAGAGAAAAACAATGGTCTAGGATTACATTAAAGTACGCCGCTAAGAAGTTCATTTTAAGTACAATAGTAACAAATGAAATTTTTTTCAACTACAATAACCTGTATTTAAAAAACCCCCAACAAAACAGCCAAAATCTTTATAGCTTTGACGTTTCTGTGCTCTATTTAAGTGGTAAATGCTTGAACTTTCTAAAAAGGATTTTAAATAATAAGTGAACAAAGGTCCATTGTTTCCTTGGTGTGAAAAACAACAACAACCCAACAAAAAAAAATATGTGTGTGTGTTGGGGGGGGGGGGGGGGGAGCAGGACAAACCTGTGTCCATTCATTCATATTATACGCTACCAACTAAAAACGATCTCTTGCTGCATCTCCAATGCCATCATCAAAACAACTTGAAATTATGGCCAGTTCTGCAGACCATATCAGAAAAATACTAGATCTCCATATTAGCAGTAATAATAAATATGCATAATCAATTCCATGGAATATATTTAACTGCTGGTAAAAACCACTGAACGTAAAAAAATTTCACTACAAATAAAAATAAGGCACATTTGATTGGCTCATCAGTTTTCCAACTTTGTTCCCACGAAGTGAAGTCTGGTCCACAATCAACTTTGAAAACTATTGCATTATCACTAAAAAACAAAAGCTTAAACAATATTCTATTGGAAGAAGACAATAACTTCTATCAAAACCTGAAACTCTTTGAACTGTAAAGTATTTCAGGCAACTGCAAACTTACAAAAATCCATGCAACAACAAATGGAAGATAACAGTTGGCAAAAAATACTGCCAAGTTTTGTTAAACAGCACCACAAAGTGATGACGTCAAAACAAATAAGATCATTTTAGCATAAAACTTTGTAAAAATTTGTTTTGGTTACAATCACATAATTTTCCTCAGCAGCAAGCTAAGGACATCTAGAACATCCTTATATTTCAAAATTGGAAGCCAGCAATAGAAACTATTCAACATATGGTCCTTTCAGGCCTTTATGCACTTTGTACACATATAGTAACAATTTGAAGAAAGTATAACAACAGAAATAAAAACAACAGTAAATTTATGACTGTAAAACATTATCATTATGTCACGTAGTAGTATGTTTTTAAAAATTACATTCAAAATGGTCCATCATTTAACTTTTCTACCAAATACATTCAAAGAAGACAAGTTTGCTACATGCATTTGTCTCTAAAAACAAAAAAAAACAAAACAAATGCTGAGAGACTTAAAGACTAGTCACACCACCATTTCCTTGAATGTAAACAGTTTTACTGCATGTTTTTGGTCTCTTTGTACATTGTACATTTCTTAGTCAATTAATTTTTATTACAAGTTTGTGGAGATGCTGAGAAATGTATAGGAACATTCTGAGTTAATGCATGCTCTGGGAATACCATAATTCAGAGCAGGCAATAATCTTTTTAAAAATCCAGATTGGTTGCTAAGGCCATAAAAACATATGAACCAATAAAAGTCACAACAAAAGCAAAGCCATTATGTAACATAATCAGCATGCCAACAGAGGCTTAGTAACAACAGCATGTATTTATGCAAAAATCAACAGTCTACACAGAAATGGTAAAATACTTCAATACCCTCAAATCATGTGCCTACCAGTGCAATATAGCTGATAGCACCTTCCCATTAAAAAAAATTATTTCGTAATGTAAAGATTCTCAGAACACGACTGGTGATGATATTGCAAAGAAAAATGCAGCTGTATCATTTACATCAAAAGGTCAGTATAAGCATGGACTCTATGATAAAGTTGTCACCAGCAGTTGCATCATTATCACAAAAAAACATAAAACCTAAGACCAAAAATAAAGTCCATTAAAATGAATACAAACTACGAGAGAAAACACTCCCCTACTGTCAACAAAGATAAGTAACAAGTATTTTCAAGCCAACTGTAACTGGGCTCGGATCTCTTTCTTCCATCTGTAAAACGTCCTGGCAGATACGCCAGGAAAAATGCGAGAGAACTCTTGCGAATCAACATCAGGATTGTCTTTCACATACATGTACTCTGCACGGCTCATTTTCTTTTGACGTTGCGAAGAGTACGCTTCATCTTCATCCTTAAGGGCAGAGGACTTTGACAGAGTCCAATGCCCTGGTCCTGATGGAGGAGTGGCAGCGTTCCTCACATTATCTCTTTTCACTGGCATCTGCTGATCTGTCGTTCGCGGGGGCCTGTCCTTGGACATGGCAATAAGAGCAGACAATGAGTTACTCTCTGACCCCGTAATATCATCAACAGATGCGGAGAGTAAGCCATGTGTTAGCCTGCCAGTGGAGCCTGGCAGGGTTTCATAGCTAGAAGAAGTGGCAGGCACGTTGAGTATGTTTTCCATACTAGACAAAGTATCAAGACGATCGACGTTATTATTGTTAACTTTGCACTGAGTATCCCTTTCAGTCATATTCAGCGAGGGTGCCGAGATTTCCTTTGCCTCTGAATACTTTCGAACACTATAATCTGCAAACTTCGCCAGTCTGCTGAGAGAAGATTCCTCCCGACTATCAAGAGGGTGTAAGGATTTCAGTTTTTCCAAAGCCTGCTCAGTCCCAGGAAACACAATCTCCCCTCTACTTGTATTGTAACAATCTATTCGCTCTTCATCATCTTGGTTTTTAAATGGCTTCAACTCTTCTTGTACAATGCAAGACAGGGAGGAGGTTTGCTGGGATGGATGTGTCTGATTGTCTGGCTTTGGGTTTGAGCATTCCTTCCAGGATTTGAATACTTCTTCGGTAATGTGAGGGAAAATGCTTGAAAATTCACTGAACGAGAGTTGCCTACGCCTTAAGGTAAATTGTTTTGCTTGTGTTATCTTCTCCATCCAGTCTGAAAAGACTTCTTCTGAGACATCTGGGTAAGTTTGAGAAAATCCAGAGTAATGAATATCAGGGTACTTTTGGCAAAATTTAAATGCTTCAGAGAAAGACAGGTTAGCTTTCAAGTTGGGAACATCTGTAGACCGGTCTTCAGACTCTGAATCTTGGTGACGGTCAAAGTCTTCAGGACTAAAATCCATAGCAGCAATATCCTCTTTGCTTAAACCTTTCCATATGTTGAAAATGTCCTCACCAACATCTTTAATACTTTCACTAAAAGTTTCAAAATCAACACCAGGGCTTGAAGCAATATTGACAACAACAGCTCGTATTCTATTGAGCCAGAGTTCAAATGTATTAGCAGAAACAAATGGAAAGCTCTCTTTAAATTCTCTATAACAAATTGTTGGATGATGCATTAAGTGGAGCAAGGCTTTGGTCATTTCAGACTTTGTTTGTTCATCAACTTCAATTTTTGGAACACTGTCTGCAGACTCTTCTTCTTTCAGAGAGTTTGAGCTAATGCTGACTTTTGTCTCATGTTCAATAATTTCCTTCCATTTGGCAAAAGCATCCTGGGTCACTTCAGGGAGGACAGATGATATTTCAGAGAACTGGACATTAGGTTGAGAGCGAACATAGCTCATAATCTGCTGGATTTCTCTCTTCCATCGATAAAAAGTTCTCTTTGGAACCTCAGGATATGTTCGTGCGAACTGCGAAAACTCAGTGTAAGGGTTCATTTGGAGAAACCAATACTCAGGGCCATTCAGCTTTCTGTTCTCTTTCACAGATGGAGACAGTGCATTCTCTGAGGTGTTTCTAAAATCATCTTCGTGGACGTGGCTTTTCCAGGTATTGAAAACATCTTCTGAAATTGTATAGTCTATTTTTCGATACTCCTCAAAATCAATATCAGGGTTTTCCTTTAGGTAATCAATTGCATCTTTCAGTTCCTTCTTCCATCGATAGAAGCTTCGTACAGATATGGCAGGAAATAGCTTAGAAAAAGATGCAAAATCAATGGTTGGGTTTCTCTGAACATAAATGTATTCTTCTTTATTGTATTTTCTGATGTGTGCACCTTCATCTGAATATGTAGACTCAAACAGCTTTGGCGAGGGTGGTTTTGGATTTGAGTCCTCTGTCAAATCTCGCTCTGCATCAAGTTGAGATGTACTAAAACCGCCATACTTTTCAGAACTGATTACATTTTCTGACGAAGTTCCAGCAAGTTCATGGTTGCCCAATGTTATATCAGTTTGACTGTCCCGAGTAAAATTCATAGGCATACCTTTGGCAGCTTTGTCTTTCCAAGATTCAAAAATAGATTCAGGGATGTCTGGGAAAACTAACTGAAACTGATGAAAAGTCATGTCCTTGTTGTCTTCCAGTAACAAAAATGCAGCATTGATTTCTTTCCGCCACCTGTAAAATGTTCTTAAAGAAATCAAGGGAAATAAACCTTGTAATTCTTTGAAACATAATTCTGGATTTTTCAAATAATAAATGTACTCTTGCTTATTTTGTTTCCTCGACCTACTCCAAGAATGTGAACCATCTACATCATCTCTGTCATGAGACAGATCTGGTCTTCTCTCACTTATGCTGGCAAAAGAGACATTGCATCTGGTCTGGTCAAGCATGTCTTTAGACACGCCTGCCTGTTGCTCTTCATGGGTTTGGCTGGGCAGGAAATCTGTGGCTATATTAGCTTTATCAGACTCTGCAGGATTCACAAGGCTCCCAACAGGACCAGCAGTCACTCCGGGGATGGGACTAGTTTTGGGCAGTTTGGATGGTTGTGGACCAGGAAGAAGACCAAGGTGGCTGCCGATGCCTCCTGTGAGACCCATCATGCTGGGCCACAGCATCATTGGCAACATCTGCTGATTCAAAGGGGAGGTCAAACCGTAATAACTTTGCCACGGGAACATCATATTCTGAAGTGATGCCAGGTAGCTTGCTGACAAGCTTCTCGCAACTGTATCGGCCAAAGAGGGATTCAGAGAGTGAGCCGTAGTAGAAAGTGGATCCTTTGACCCAGAATTCCCACCCAATAAACCAAATAGGCCCTTTGAAGTCTCATACTGCACATTTGAAGAAACAGAACTGGACTTGCTTGTTGACTGAAATGCAGTTGTAGTAGTTTGAGAATTTGGAGAGCTGGGATTAGAATTACTTTTCATATTCTGTGAGAGAGAGCTCAGTCTTAAAGCTTCAACATACTCTTTCCAGGATTTGAAAACATCCTCAGTGACAGAGACAATTTTTGAAAAATCTTTGTAACTCATGTGCTGATTCTGGTAAAACATCCAAAACTCTTGCATAGCATTCTGCTTATGGCTGTTGAAGACCTCCACAGAGACTCCTGGGAATTGTTGTGAGAAGAGTTCATAACTCATGGACAGGTTTTTTTGGATGGCAGAATATTCACTACTTTTTGCAGGTAGCACATTCTTAGCCTCAAGTCTTTTTGAAGAGTCAGAGGGTGCATAAAACCCTTTACCCTGAGAAATCATTCTCTTCCATAAATGAAATACTGACTCCTTTGCCTGAAGCACAACACTGCTAAATTCCTGAAAGCTCATTTCTGGACATTGCTCTAAAATAATGTACTCCTCTTTGATTCTTCTTTTCCATCGGTAATATGTACGCTGGTGTACATGAGGATAGCGCTGGCTGAACTCAGCTAGGTCACAGAAAGGGTTAAATTCCAAAAACTCATATTCTTCTTTCCGAGACATGTCCCTTCTCTGCCACGGTATGCTGACATGATGTTCCTCTTTGAGCTTGGTGGATTTGCTTTGAACAGGATGAGGAGAACAGAAGGCTTCATTCAGCTGGGGGGGCAAAAAACATTCGATAAATATGACTCAGATAGTAAAAGGTAAAAAAAAAAATTAAACTAAACATTCAAATGTATACAACAAGGCACACACACCAAAAAAAAAAAAAAAAAAAAGAAATGCTTATTATTCTGATGTTTACAGGTAAGAGAGAAAGTATCAAGGACCAAGAAAATCAGTCTATTTTAATTCTGATCCTGTGTAGATGCAAATTACAACTATTCAAAGATATATGTGATGCATCGTGGTGAAATCAGGCGCTCGTCAAAACAATGAAATCGAAGAAACTGACATTTTTGTGTCCGTTTGGCAATTTTTATCGAATTTTTTGTTTTTTGACTCAACACCTTTAAGGGGCATTTAAAAACACACTTCTGTGTGGATTTTACTCAAAAATGTAAATTTGCATCAAGCTTTGGTAGTTGCCAAACTTTAGCAGCCATTTTCTTGCTAATTTTACCTCTGAAACCAGTCGACCCCCACCTCCTTCAATCGCAAATATCTCAACTTCTGTTCATGATAGATGAGTATTTTTTCACCGAAAGCAAGACAAATGAAAAAGCTTTAAAATGATGCCAATAATTCTATATATATGTCCAAAAATTGACGAGCGCCAGATTCCACCACGTCGTGATACATATATAGTGGAGTCTGCTTCAACTGAACACATTTTACTCTAAATCATTGGTAAACCGAAATAAAATAAATTTCCTTTAAAAAAAAATTATATTTGAAAAACCTCTCTAAACTGAAAACCCAGCTATACCAAAGGAAATCTGGCAGTCCTGCTGAATTCAGCATACTATGCAGACTCCACAGCATATCATCTTACTCAGATTGTACACCATCAAAGTTGCATGTATTATAGTTAAAGTGGTCACTCCCCCTCTGAAGTTTTTTTTAAATGACAGGACCCAGACTGAGCCACTTTTACCATAAGGCACTAGTAATGGTCTTTTGTTTTAGTAGAGGTTTTACAACGCTCGCAACTGCATAAGGTCATATGAGCGCCAGTAGATTAGAGGTGTTACAAAAGAGTACCAAACATAAAAAAGGAGGGGAGATAAGGACGATAGATGTTTGATAGTAAAGAAGAAGCAAACCACACCAGAGCACCCGCCAACCACCCACAGTAATGGTCTACACCACTGTAAAACATACAAGCACAGAAAATGTATAGATTATTATAATACAGAAGTGGCTGTACGCATAAAAGTATTCACAGCCTTGTGCAGTCAAAGAATGATATATTGGACAACACAGAAGCTTGATAAAATGTTCATATATACGAAAATCTCAGCTGTATTCCAACTATTAAGCTGTGCAGTCAAACCTGTGTAAGATGGCAACCCACTGTCAAGGAGAAAGGTGGCCATAAAAAACAGGTGGCCGTCTTAGCTTTGGCAAGACAAACCAAAATGAAAACAAAACCATTCCAATCTAAGAACCCAACCAGAGGTGGTCGGAGGCTTAGGACTGCCACTAGGCTAATTGAAATGTTTTTTTGTTTTTGTTTTTTCTTTTGAAGGGAGGGTAAGAGGGGAATGGTTTAGTTATTTTTTTGGTAAGCTTTTCTTTTGTTGATAATTTTTAGCAGAGTAAAATAAAATGATGTGTCATACAAGAATGATCACGTGCTATGGTAAAACAAACACATGGGTCATCACCACTCAGAGAATGAGCGACATATCTGTCACAAGTTCATGTTGATGCCCATTTTTACGGACTGGGTAAACAGTGACCGCTCATCTCACTTACGATTTGTGTACAAGTTGTGGGCGGGGCTTATATTATGATGGATCACATTCCCTCACCAGTAGCTGAAAATTTATTGTTACCGAATGGTCAACTTGGGTAAACAGTGGGATAGACCTACGCAACATGTCATGATCAGTTCATTCATCGGAGGGACTAACAATAATGACTGGTGAATTAATTATGACTGCTCATCCACAGCACCAGGAGCCCAATACATAACTTATGACAACGCATCAGGCGATGAGAGACTGCGTGGCTATCTTAGACAGGTATTTTTGGTTGTTGGCTGATAAAATATGATGGTTGCGACCACATTGGTAAAGGGGAGTTTTACACAGTGAACAATTTTTTTTAAACGCAAGAGAAGAATTGGAGAGCAGCTGTTTGTACAGTTGACCATCAGGGCAGTTTTGACTGTACAGTCGAACCTGCCTTAATGAAAACCTGTCTTAACGGAATCTCCCCGCTCCCCCTTGATATATTCCTCTTTAATTACCTGTATAAAACGGAAACCTGTCCAACGCGGAAACGGAAAGAAAAATCCGCTCCCTTCAGAGGGTTTCACCTGTCTAAGACGGAAAATGCTTTGCCCGCTCAGCCCTGATTTGAAACAAAACTTGCAAGTTTGGTTCTGCCGGCTCTAAATTTAATGCTTTGGCCATGCCGCTGAGCGAGGAAGGGGAGTAGGGGTGCAATTTGGGGGTAGCTGTTACCCCATCATGTGAGCTCTGAGCGATGCAGATGGTCAGTGTAGTGTGGGTGTGAAATCTCATGACTGCCCGTGAGAGTGCTCGAGCAGCGAGCCACTACGGAAACTTTCCTGGGTAGCCAGAAGCCAGATGTGTGAAATTAGATTGACCGATGCCTGCCGCCCTGATCGTACGGCCAGCCGAGAAAATAGTTCCTCGAATCGCTGTTACAATGATGGCATTGGTGGGTGGGGCTAAGGGTGGAAGCAAAGGAGATGTTCAAACGTTTCGGTTTTTAAAAGGTCAAACAGTGGTCCTATGAAAGGCAAGCACTGGTGGTAATTGGATAAGTATGGCGTCGGTGGCCTAGTGGTTAGGCTCTCGGACTCGCAACCGTAAGGTCGTGGGTTCGAATCCCGTCAGGGGCCCGATGTTGTGTCCTTGGGAAAGGCACTTTGCACAAATTTTCCTCACTTCACCCAGATGGAAATGGGTACCCGGCTATAGACAGTGAACGATCTTGTCAGTTTGATAGTGTTTGAGCGCGTGAAATCCGCAGCTTGCACTGTATGCTTCTGCGGAAGCCGAGAATGTTTCTGAGTGTTCTCAGATGGTCTGCTGGGGTAATGATAGTTGTAAAGCGCATAGAGCATGCTCTTGAGCATGGATATGCGCTATATAAATGCAATTATTATTATTATTATAAGACTGACGCATGTCATTATCAGACAGGATAGCTACTGAGAGGTGTGAAGTTTTGACCACTGCTTGCCGATTGGACAACCCTTGATCCCACCGGCTGGTCCTTTGAACACCCCCCCCCCCGAAATTCCCCTGTCTAAGACGGAAAATGTCTAAGACAGAATATTTTCTGGCTCCCTTGCGATTCCGTCTTACACAGGTTCGACTGTACTTGTGATGTGACATAGTCTGATCCACCTACTTACTTAAACCCCCCACCCACAAACAGACACACACCACTCCTCATAGTACAACTAAAATTATGCATTAGATTGGGTGTGCTTTTACGAATCTTGAACGTCAGGGCAATGCAATATTACATGGTAAGACCCCAAAAGATGTTACCTACTTTGAAGAACGCATGCGTGGGTTATTATATAAGCTATTAGATCTATACCAGTAGGTTTTCATTTTTTAAAAGACCAAAAAAAAAAAAAAAAAAAACCCAACAAAACAACAACAACCCAAAGACCTACCCTGACACTACTTTAGAGCACTGACCTTAAAAATCTCACAAAACAAAAAATGTTAATAAGACATATAATTAGAACCACTCGTTTATGGTATAAAAGCTTTTCTTTTCAAGCAGTTATAACTTACCTTCCTCTTACTGGATGGGAGGTTGAAATCAAAATTTCCTCTGCTGCTTTTTTCCGAACTAGTTGAACAGACTGAAGTACTGGTAACTCGCATCCTGAAAAAAGTAAGTAAAATGAAACTGTGTATTTTAAGACTCTCCTAAAATGAAACAAAAAATACCCACAGGAAAACAACCACAATCAAGAAAGACAAAAATAAAGGACATTTTTTTAAGCCCACGGCATTTTAAAAATTTTTTAAACCCCCTCTTTTGAGCTACCCTTGCAGTGGTTATCTTTAGCTCTTTTAATGCCACCATTAACTTATCAAATACATGGCTGCCATACACAGCTGTGCGAAGCACATTAAATTCAACTTTTACAGCAACTGCACTAAATGTCATCTGACCACACCCACAAACTTTATTGACCTGTCAAATGAATCAATTACTATGTATACCATGGTCCCATCTTTTCTTAATATTGTATGAGAAAAAACTGAACTTGGAAAGATAAAGAACATACGGAGAGAATTTCAGTACTTCAAAAATTGCTATTCAATAATATTCAGTAACTGTCTAGTATAATTAAAGAAAGTCGTTAGAAGAAAGGATCCCAAATCAACTGAAAATGTTAAAACTACAAAACTTGATAAGTTATAACAGCAACCCATATATAAAAGAGCAACCAGCAACCATAAAAGCTTGAGCTTGTGTAACAGAATTTGTCTTATATATATAAATATTATATCCCCATCTAAACCAGCAACCTTTTCCCGCTAAACCAACCTTCAATGCTATATATATATAAATAATCTGAAGATTAAAAAATTGTGAACACTGTCACTGATCTATTACTTCGGTATCTATGCATCCCTCCTCCCTTGACGTCATCTATAAACAACAGCCTGGGCCAAAAATGCACTACGCTGAGTACAGAAGTTTAGTTCACACTATCTTGCCAAGAGAGAACTTCCTTCAAGAGTCTGAGAGAAAAGTCTCTGCCACTGCCGTGCATAACATTACCACCAATGCTTGAATACTGCCTATGTTCTCACTTTCTGACATAACATACCACATCCTGCAATCAAAGCTTGTATGTATGTGTGTGTGTGTGTGTGGGAGGGTTATTATTATCTTTTGAAGTTTACACTACAACCCCCCCCCCCCCATATGAAAATTCAGTTAGAACCCAACTGTTTCCCTGCTGTACTATAATTAACAACTCAAAAACAAAGAAAAAAACAGAAAAAAACACACATGGCATGTAGGGACCGTATTGTCGGTCTTCCAGCATGCCAGACAGTGGTCAGACATCGAACAGTAAAAAAACACACAAAAAAACAACAAATATAGACCCAGCAAAACACACACAAAATTAAAGACAGACCTTAATGTACTACATCTATATCCAATGTTATATGCATGCACCTTCTCCATTACTGTGATCCCCACAAGACAAAGAGAAAATCAGTCATGTGTCCAAATACCTGTGCCTGTGACTTTTACACAAGGCAGGCCTACAATTTTCTGACTACTGAAGGGTATTTCAGACCACAAACAAAATGTTCTTGTCAAAGCATTTACTGTGATATTTTGGAAGACCTAGTCATGACATTATTGACTGAATCACCAAAAGTAAGCAGAAACACACAAAACTATGAATAATTTTATTATGAACTAGGAGTTTTATAGCAATTACTGCAGATTCTAAAAAACGCTCAGACACTTGTAAGGAGGGATTTTACTCAAGTGTGCTAGCATTCAAATAATTATTTTAACACTTTATTCTGTCCACACATTGAGGTACTTTGAAGCTTATTAGGCAGTGTCCACTGGAGGATCGGTTCGATTTGGTTCCGTTACATTACGACCGTTTATGGCGGCTTCAGTGCACAATATAGACCCCTGTCTCAAACCAATCGCCTATCTTACGGCCTTGAAAACAAATATGTTTGTTCTTGAATTCTTGAAGTTCATCGTTGGTTTCGTTTCGTTTGTGCCCTGCTGGCAACTTTTCTCCCTCGGTGAAGGGAAATCAGGCTAGCACTACGACCAAACCGAACCGTACCGATCTTGCACATGGGCAGAAGGTATTTAGGACATAATTATAAGCATTGCATAAAATAGTGAAATTTGTCTAGCATATTACCTGTCACTTGTCAGATCCATGCCAACTTCATGCTTGAGATCCATGCCAACCTCATGCTTGAGATCCATGCCCACCTCATGCTTGATATCAGGTCGCCACACTGACATATCTAGCGGCCCTTCTTTACTTTGACTTTCTTCTTGGACAGGGTGTTTCTCCTCCACTTCATGAGTCTTCAGGTCGTTTGCATAGCACTGAAAATGTTCTGTTTGTGTTGCATCCAAATTTTTCCTGTTGGTTGATAACTCCACATTCCCTACAGTGAAATTATGGGATGAATGATGAAAGGCTTTGTCTGGCAAAGTATCTTCTGGAGATTTCGTAACAATACACTCATCATTGGCCGATAAGTCGCCCACTCTAGATGAAAGTGAATGTGACACCAGACTAGAACACACAACTTTATTATGATTCAAAGAATCACTGTTGTTCTTATCATCAGTATCCCTAATTTCTTGAGATGTGTCTGTATTTTCAACATCAATTTCAAAAGATGGATCAGATTCTGAGTTAGTACTAGTATTTATAAATGAATCTACTGCATTATTTTGCACAGATGTATTACTCGCTAGATTGTGGTGTGATCCAGCAAAACAGCCTTCTCTCCCTTCATTTTTCGGTGTAGAAGTTTCAGAGGATAATCCATTACAAATAACATCTTTCTTATCAAAAGTTTCCGTTTCGAGTTGAGCTGCAGAGATTGAATCTTTGGTATCCAAGTCAGCTGACAATGAACTTAAGTCTTGAACAGACTCATATTCCATTTCACTAGCATTGAGATCGCCAGTGCAATCAGTAAGACTTTCTTGTGGTTGATCATTGTGACAATCCTCTCTGGATTCTATTGACACATGAGATGATCCCATGTTGAACTCTGTGGCTTTAATTTTCTCAGAACAACAATTTGGTGAATCTGTTTCTTCCTGGGTAAGCAGAGGAACAGTGGACAAGCCCATGGAAGATGTTTTACTTGAATCCACACCAACATTGCTACTCGCATCACCATAGTGACTCTTGGATATGTAACTTGGAAGAGCCGGTTTTATGCCAGTTTTGACAAGTTCGTTAACACTGAAGTTCTCCTTTTTCTTCTTATCTACTTCTAAACAAAGCAAACCAACTATTTCTATGCATTCATCAAAGCTGAAGTGTGTATGGCAGAGCTGTCTGATAGACGCTATCAGTGCAGGCAAGAAACTTTTTTCAGGAAATTTCATTCTGATGTCTGTATGGCTTGAAGCATTGGAAGCAAGACTTTTCCTGAAAAGAAAAAAGTTTCAATTTACTTAACTTTCAATTCGATGCAAATAAAAACAGAATCTCCCAAGACCTTCCCATAAAAGTACATAAAAATACCTTACAAACGTATGATGTTGCTAGTACAAAACAATGTAAAACTGTAAATCTGCTGGCCTTTTACACATTTCAATTTCAATGCTAGTCACGCTTCCTACAAAATCAAATAGTGAAAAGTAGGGTTTTTGTTTTGTTTTGTAAGTGTTTTACGGTGCTCGCAACCTGATATGGTCACATGAGCGCGAGGGAGACATTAAACATTTTCAGTTAGTAGGAAATTTTGAATTTTGCCTGGGTGGTGGCCGAAGCCTTCTTTTATCGATTTTGGACCACCAAGGGATCTTTAACGTGCACAATTTGCACACGGGACCTCTGAGATTTATCGAGATTGTCTTAGAAAGCTAGGTGTACTGTACATCTTACCTACCATAAGATTAGGGTTGTGGATGAAACACAGCAGTAAGATGGAGTCATGGAATAGCAGTAAAGGCAGCAGAAAGAGTCATTCATGAGCCCACAGAAGGGGGCGAAGGAGGTGAGGGTGTGGTTTCAGAAAGTGGAAAGGAAAGCAGACGACAGAACATTGTTACTCATTCTTAGAGAGCAGGAAAAAAGGTGAAAAGAGAAAAATATCCGTTACTGTCCGGATTTGAACCCGGGACCTATAGAACAAGAGGTATACACTTTAACCTCTCGACAACAAGAGCCCCCATCTACATTTCTTTAGTAAAAAAATAATGATACATTTTGTTTTTTTAAAATACTAAGACTGGTATCTGGGCTATAATTTGGGCATCGCAATAAAACAAAGATTCGAAAATAGTATTTAAAAACTAAAATCAAAACTGACTTTGGAAGGGTTTTAATTTTTCTCTTCTTAATTTTTAATTGGACTTCCAACTGGTCAATGATTTTGTCTTTCTCCTCAAATAAACTGGGTTTAGACTACCTATTGAATAATCCTTTGTTGTTTTGAAACTTTGATTTTCAATTTTTTCTCTGCTTTCAGCTCAGATTGCTGTTTCCAGGGGCGAAGGCTGACTTGTTTGACAGGGTAATCAAAGTGAAACGGGACCAGATATAGATCTATATGGCCTGTAGATATCACATTA